GACAGTGTAAGTCATTATAATCCGTAATTATGTCTCCACTGGATGCAACAAATGCCTCATTTGTAATGGGTTTTATTGGTTTTGTCTCGTCCTGCTGGGAGACGGCATCACAGTATGTTAAGGGGCGTAACATTTCCGTCACACGCTTGAGGTATTCGGCCAATCACAACGCACTGGATAGCTGGCCAATCAGAGCACACCTCGCTTTTTTAGAACGATGATCTTTGTAAAAATCGACGCGTTTCAGAAAGGCGGGGCATAGAGGAGAAACAATAATGTACATTATATGGAAAATAATGTGTTTTTTGAACCTTAAACAGCATAAACACATTGCATTATACCAAATACACAACATAATGTTCTTTTTAGCAACATCATATGACCCCTTTAAAAAAAAAGCCATTCACACTTATCCTGGAGCGCAACTATTTCTTCTCCAACCCCCTCGAACTTGGAGGAAAACAATGTAACATTGAGATCTCCAAAAGCAATTTTCTGCCTTATCAAGCAGGCACTGCAAAAGCAAGAGCTAGAACCATCATGTTTGCGCTGTGCAGCAAAAAAATGCATTAGCTTTCACTGTTAACAGGCTACAATCATTTGAATAAGACACACAGATGGCTTTGTGGGTGCTGATTATAGCTTTTAGGACAGTCTGAATAGGTAGAGTTAAGTGCAGTTAGAGGATAGCACCGCATCAGAATGACAATAAAGCTCATCTTTAAAAGAGCTGCCCAAGGCATCCCAGAGCGACGCACGCTTTCAGTGAAAACAGCCGACAATTCTTTTGTTGTCTTATCATCCAACTGTTTTCTTTTAGGTAATGAATGTTAAGTTCAAATCTTTTGGTTGTTGCGTGATGGTAAAATTTCACACTGCCATCTTTCCTGTACTATTCCATGTTGACTTGGAGCTTTCAGCATTGCTGAAATACAGTGACAACCACAGAACCAGAAATAAGGAAACCCCCTTCCACCCATCCAACAAAACACTGAAATGCTGGCAACACTTGGACTCGAATTTACTGCAAAAAACAAAGCTTTTTCATTGAGATTACAAACAATTATATATATATATGTGCAACAAAGTAATGGTAGCTTGATTGTAAATAAATAAAATAACTAAATAATAATAATAATAATAATAATAATAAAACAGAACTAAATTAAATATTGTAACCATTCATCAGTGAAAGTGAAAAAAAAAGTAAAAAAAAAAATAACTCGGAGCTTGAAGTGTAAAATATTAGGGAGGGATTGCAATGCATTTTGTGTGCAAGTCTGTACAGAGATCGGCCAAAATAAAATAAAAAACAGCCAGTTCTGACTAATGGCCAGTCAGCCAGGGGTGCGTTTCCCGTACAACAACATAACTCACTGATTAACCACCATAGTACGATGCATTGTTGTGGAAACTAACTAGCCAGTCACGACTGTTTCCCGAACACGGTCGCATCTCCATCTCCACATTAGTTCAACAATTTAGGGCCGTTGTTAATGAGGTCACACGCATGCGGTGGAGTAATAACTTCTGCTAATTAATTGATTCGAGATTTCTATGTGTTGTTCCCTGTCATTTTGCTTTATTTGATGTTTGATTCATCGCGGGTTTCCTCTTACGTCATACTCTGGGTTTCCGCTAAAATCTATCGATTAAAATGTATATATATTTAAATTGAATTGAAGATATAGATTGTACTGCATGTTAGCTTGCTTGTTCTGCCCAAAAGCATAATTTATTTAAGTCCATATGTCTTACTAACAAGAAATGGTTTCAGGAAACACCGAATCGTTGAGCTATGTTGGTAACGACGGAACATGCGACCATAGTTGGCTAACGATTCTTTAGGGAAACGCACCCCAGTGCATCTACTGGTAAACTCTAAAGAGGAGAAATGCTCTCGTGTGAGGGAAAGAGTGCAGAAGAGAGTGAAAGGTAAGCAGCACATATATGCAGACACATAGCAGCTACTATTAATGCGATTGGTCAAGAGTTTTTTTTTTAATAAAAAAAATATTTTCCCATCCATATTTGACCCTGGTGCGGACCCCAGGATGGGAACCACTGGTGTAAGCTAAATGGTTGGGTACCTCACAATGCAATATGTATCATCACACATATGTCACGATACAATATGTATCGCAATACTTTACAAAGAATCATGTCCAGGCCATCAAAAAAAATATATATAATAATAAAAAAAAATTATAGGTGCTCAATACTTTCAAATGAATGCCTCAAAATGATATTAGTAAGATATTAGTACTATTATAGCTGACTAAAATATTAATATGTCATATTTTAGTCTTGAAAGTGACTTACCAAATTGACAAACTCAATCAATATTAAAAATGTCATTAAATATTATTTTCAAATCCATTAGACTTAAGTTCATCTTCAAAACAAAAATGAAGATCTGATTGATTTCTGTCCCTCCACTAAAAGTCTATTCACCATCAAAACTTCGATTCTTCAAAAAATTTCTAAAAACACAGTAAACACAATCCATATAAATCGTGCATTTTAATTCAAGTCTTCTGACGCACGATTCCTTTATATGTTGAACAGATTTCATTTAGTCTTTTATTCATATATAAAACTGATCAACACACGTATAGAGTGCATCAAATAGGCTAAACCGAAGCTCAAATGTGCTTTCTTGGCATGCGAGAACAAACCTTATTGTCTCCTGTGCGTCAAGCAAGCATATATGAAAAAGCCTAAATTAAATCTTTTCATCACACTGTATAAAGCAATTGTGTCTGTTCAGATGAATTGGATTTAACCACTCGATTTCATATGGATTACGTTTCTTAATGACTTGTTGAAGCATCAAAGTTTTGGGTGAATGGACTTTCGATGGAGGGATAGAAATTTCTAATTTCATTTAAAAATGTCTTCATTTATATTTCAAAGATGAACAAAAGTCTTATAGGTTTTGAATGACATGAGGGTGAGTAAATTACAATTTTCATTTGAATATAGTCTACCAATCTGTGAAGTCCATGTCAGCTTATTATTATCATGCTGTTATTAAAGTAAATAAGGCACAAATAAAATGCATTCTAAACATTCTAAAAAACACATTTTCATTTAAATTTGATGCTGTTAAACTTAAGTCTCCGGAGATCAGTTTATTAGTAATATGTAAGTTCCCTTCTGGTTTTCCAGCAGTATCACAGTTCACATGGAGCCAGTTACTGAGCTAACATGACTGTTAATTTTTTTTCCCATACATATAAACATGAGGGAAAAACGATTTGTGATTTAGCAATTAACAGCATCTCTCTTAGCAGAGGAAAGAACTGGTCTGTACAGGCCAGTCAGAGTTATTGTTTAAAAAAAACCCTGATACTTTAAAGGCTTTCCTTATGTAAATTCTGCACATAACCCTCTGTGAAAGTCTAACCACTGTGATCACTCCGCAGGGGCACACATCCAATTTCTCAACTTCACCTCTGAGGATAACCATGATTTTTTAGAGTTTCGCAACGGGCCGCACCACAGCAGCTCTCTCATCGGACAGTTCAGCGGAAGCCAACTGCCGCCCCCTATACTGAGCAGCACGCATGAAACCGTCATCCACTTCTACAGCGACCACTCCGAGAACAGACAGGGCTTCAAACTCACTTACCAAGGTGGGTGACTTCCCATCTTCCATTTGCATGCTGCGCTCTCTTCTCCTGCAGACATCAGCCGTCCTTGATTTTGTATTGACCCTTCGTGTGGGAGTGACGGCCTTTTACCAAGATCACTGGAAATATCTAAAAATTCACTTCCTTTCAGATCACTGGGAGGACACTCCATTATGACAGCCGGGGTCTTGAAAGCATTTTGAAATCAATAAGACAGTGCATTTGGATGTGCACTTGGATTCCACTCGATATAAATAACTCGCCATTGTCTGGTCTCCTCGCTTGTAGGTCAAACATTTCGTCTCTCTCTTTTTCTTATCCACTCTAGTCTGAGTTGAAAAGAGCCAGGCACAGCCTTGATCTGTGCCGCCAGCCTTGCTTTTGCGGGGGGAATACTGATGCCATGTTTTGATACACAAACAATGATGCAGGATGAAAGAATATGATTATAAAGCTGTTGATCATAAGCGCTGCACTTGAAATGCTGCCTGGAGATGCTTGTATGTTAGCTTGACAAGCTTTCTGGTACTTCACCACACTGGTGACGATACACAGAAATGAGCAACACCTTGCATGTGTGTTTGTCGTTAAAGGGTTAGTTCACCCAAAAATGAAAACTCTGTCATTAATTACTCACCCTCATGTTGTTCGAAACCCGTAAGACCTTCGTTCATCTTCGGAACACAATTTAAGATATTTTTGATGAAATATGAGGGCTCTCTGACCCTCCTATAGACAGCAAGGTAACTTCTACGTTCAAGGTCCAGAAAAGTACCAAGATGATCGGCAAAGTAGTCCGTGTAACATCAGTGGTTCAACTGTAAAGCTACGAGAATACTTTTTTGCGCAAAGAAAACAAAAATAACGACTTTATTCCACATTTCCGTCTCTACTG